ACATTTTTCTTATACCCTGTATGTAAGGTTGAATCTTCGTGCGTTATGGGTCTGAGTATTCGCGCGTTTCTGTCGATCAAACGAGCGAACTTATCGGCGTCCGACTACCTGCATGTTTACCGCCGTAAAATTATGTTCACAGTCGTAAAGTTCACGTGAAATTACGCAGCCTTTGATCGGTCCGCTATCGGTCGCACTCCCGTCCATAAGAATTACGACCCAGCATTCAGGGAATGTGAAAGATGTGTTCTGTATGGATTGTAGACCTCCACAGTTTCTATTACCTCACGATGGAGTGCGTTTAATGAGTTTTAATTTAACGAGTAACTCGTCAATTTATAAGTCGACGTGCTTTGTTGAATGTGTTCTGCAATATTCGCTTATATTTTATGTTATTCATTATGTATGTTTTATGCCCTCTCAATATCTAATCGAGATGAACGTTTCAGTGTCTAAAATTATGGAAACCTGTGACGAATGTTCTGAAAACAATACGGTGGTAGGGAATGTGTTGATATTCGCCGAAGAACTAAATCTTTTTGGCGGTTTCTATGATTTTATGGACGGATGTGCGTGTATTCTTTTATGCAGGCTTTGGTAGATGTTGCTAGCGTAATTTTTAGAGTGTTTTCGGTGTTCAATTGTGTAGTGTAGTGACCTCAGTTAATGTTTTGTAACGAAATATGGAATGTACTTTCAGGTAGAATGTGCATGCTACAAAGTGAAATTTCTAAAGGTTTAGTGTGTGCTTGTATATTTCTCCTAGTGTTCGAAAATTTATATACAAAAAGGCAGAAATTCTGTGAATCAATATTTCTCGTGATCAATGTTTTTTCGTTAATTTCTCGCAAAATTTATTTTCATATTGCACTTTAGAGCTACGTATCAACTTTGGAATTTTACTGCACGCTGTTACACTCAGGTGGGTTCATTTTTAAGTAGAGCAAAGCAGTCGATACGCGAAGAAGAATCCTAAAGACACCTTGCAAACCTAGGAAATTTGTTCTGAAAATTTTAATTTACTATGTATCCTGTGTTATTTGTTGTTAAGCCCAGTACGCACTTGGCACTTTCGACAATATTCCCAGATACAAAAGTTTAGAAAGAGACGAGCGAAGTGAGTAGCCAGACGAAAAGGGGAACGCTGATGAAACCTCGAACCGACTCCCTCGCCTAACCAACTAGAACAATGTTAAAACAAACAAAAAAATTCGATATTTCCAATAAACAATCGCGACACAGTAGTCGCCAGGTGCGTACAAGGCTGCCCAGAAGCGACCCTAAGACGACGACCGACGCGGCCCGATATTTTTCTCCAACAGCGAAGCATCCTCACCAAAGCCGCCACCGTTCCATATGGAAAGAAACCACGGATCCAGAGAAATCGGACACAGATCCCCGGAGAGGATGTCGAGCTCGTTCATCGCGGCGGCGGCGTTCACGGCGTTCGCGAATTCCAGCACGGCGAGGGCATTGTCACCGTGCCGATCGATTTCACCGGCTCCGTCCTCGGATGGATCCCAGTCATCGATACCATCGAATCGTAGCAAGAAATCCTCAAAATCGCCCGCCGAGCAGCGTCAGACGAAGGAAGAACGCGAGTACGAGCGGGCAACCAGCTTGCAGAACGGACAGACGCAGAATCGCGGCTCACCCGTGACGTCAGCAGACGAAATAGGTCTGGCACGCGGTAGAAGCAACGAGACAACGACGTCCAGGGATACCGATCGGCCTAGATCGTCGAAAAGGAGACGCGGCTCGAGCGCCGGAAACGACACCTCGATCGGCGTTCTCTCGGTGGTCTACGATGTCGCCTGTTGCGACGGGCCGGTCAAATTTCACCGTGTCCTGAACGAGAACTATTCGTCCACCTCCGCCGCGTCCTGCGGCTCCGGTTCACAGACACGACTGCCGCGGTGCTACGAAGCGGAGAACGCGTCCAGCGAGAACGACGAGAACGGGGGGCCGGTTGGGAAAGTTTGCGAGACACTCGAGCCCGAGCCAGCGACCGCCGCAGCCGGCAGTTACACGTGCGGTTACTGCAGGCACACATTCAAGTCCCAGTACTGCTACAGGAAGCACACCAAGAGGCACCTGCTGCCGACTAGGGGGAACGAGCCAGCGGGCAACAGGCAGAAGCAAGAGCACTCGAAGAACCGTAGGGAGGTCAGGCTGTTAGACCTGAACGTTCAGTACTATCCCTGTAAGATCTGCGGCTGCAAATTCCCTAGCTACTACTTCGTGCACAAGCACCGGAAACTGTGCCACGCGGAGGAGACGCCACAGCAGCCGGAAGAGATCGGCGCCACGGAGGAGGATCGGAAAATGAAGAGGATCGATCCTTTTTGGCGAATTGACACGAGGTACCGTTGCAAGCAAACTCGGCTAGGAGAAAAAGTGATGTTAGGGAAAGTACCTTCTAGTACGTGGTTGCGGAGTTACGGAAATTTATGTCAAATTAACATTCGGTTTAACATTTATTTCAGTATCTGAAATAAATTTATTAAGCGATAGAAGGCACTACGCCACTTTTTCCACCAGGAAGCCGAGTTTGCAATGCACGAGAGTCCATCTGTGGATGCTCGGGTTTTTGGAGGTCGCTTTCGTCGAACTATTGTCGGATTAGGTCGATATTAAGAACTGGACACTTGAACAATTTTCTACTATACCTTGATGGGCTAAAAAAATTTCTTTTTTGTAAAATATTCTTTTCTCTTAGCGGCATTATTCTATTCAATATCCTTTAGAATATTTGACGAGAAATCATCTTAATTTTTAGCGTGTTCTTTTACTGATTTTGACGTCATTTTTAATAAACGGTGCCAGCAATCATTCAACTCTACAACGTGAAAAGAAATAAAAAGAAGGCACCTGTTAGGTGATTTTACAGCAGGGCGATGAGCATATTCGGGTTAATGAGATTATAGTGTTAAAATTTCCTGCTATTTAATAAGATTATATTACTGATTTTATAAGATTCTCTGTGACTATTCGATCCTACGAAGAATTCGAACTTGTACGAGCATCCGAGGTCTATTCGCCGGACAAGAAAATAGCGGACAATTGATATTGCGGTTTCTGTTTCAGGGACTCTGACCGGAAAGAACACCTTAGTTGCTCAAGACCTGTGTACCCCCACCGAGTGCGACATTGCATCTTAGAAGCTAACCACGATTACTTCGATAAATAATTTAATCATCTGTAAAATCGGAATAATTAAAGGACCATCGTGAAAATTGTCGACACGTGTGTATATTCCTGCGTATATCACCTTACGAATAAAATTGAAAACAGCGAGTAGAATCGTATATCAATATGCTTGTACAAAATGCACTTGAATATAGCTTGTATACAATAAGATGATAAAGGTTGCTGTGACAGTGTAATTTCATGAATAATCGAAAATCTCTAAGTTTAGATACACAAAACGAAAAATAGAAAAGCACCGATAGACACCAAGAAAATCGAACCTTTAAGACTAAAGTTGTTCGAGTAAAGGAAGCCTGGAACCTTAACACGTTCGCTATTGGAGATAATTTTACACGAGAAACATTTAATTTTTCACGATTTATAATTCTACGGTTTACGTTAACTGTTTAGCCCATCCATACCGAAATTCCAAATGAAACATTTCATCGAGAAGTTTTAACCTGACGCAGGTACGTCATCCAAGGATTAATTACGAGGGCAGAGAAACTGCGATTCGAAATTTTCTGTTTCGTTTTAGATAGAATGAACGTTTCTTGAATCTAAGAATATTATAATCTAAAATTATAAACAACGGATTATGAATAGTAATCCAATTCGGAGTCAAATAAAAACATATAAGCTAGTGCAGGTAACACATTTACAAATCTGATATTTACTTAGTTGATGTTTTCTGCGTCACGGGCTGCACAAAAGTCCTTATAACTATAATATTTATGGATTTGTAGTAAAAATAAAAATTTGTATATTCAGTTTAATTGTATAATAAAATATTCCCAAACTGTCAAAGAGATTGGTTTAATACTTTCTTCACAATAAATTCCCAAAAATTCGTCCATATTCAGCCCATTTACACCCCCCCCCCCCACCCCCCGCCCCTTAATCCGCCACGTAAAAAATCCTACGTGTACAAAATTAATATCAGGTAACCAGAAGGATTCTGTCGTTTTTCAGTGTATCATAATTCGAAAAATTGTTGAAATATATCGAACGATCTAGATGCAGTGAATAAATGAAACAAGGCATATAATTTGTTGCTTAGTTATTGTACTCGGCATGGTGAGCCATGCTATACCTCGTCGGTGCTAGTATTTAACAGACTAGGCAATGTATTTGAATATACAAGGTGAGTCATCTAACGTTTGCACCTCAAATATCTTTGTTGTTTTTAAAGATACGTCAAATGTCTTAAAGACAAAGTTGAATGGTTCAACGGGGCTCACACGATACCAAGAGAATTTTTGTTTTTATGTCATTGTTTTAGAGATATCAAAGTCACCTTTATTTTTTTAAATGGAATCGCCCTTTTTTAAATACCTACAATGATAGTCCCTTTCATTACGAATTCAGTGACTATAATTATTCAAGGTCATTTAAGGTCACGGAAAAAGGGTGGTTCCGTTTAAAAAAAATGAAGGTGACCTTGCTATCTCTAAAAAAAAAAAACATTCTTTGGCATTGTATGACGTATCTTTAAAAACAACAAAGATATTTGAGGTGTAAACGTTAGACGACTCACCCTGTATACAGCGACAATCAGTCTTCCATTACTTTAACCTACATTTCCATATAGTTTGTTCGAACGTATCCCAATCAGTTTATCGTATTACTTTTACCGACTTTTATGCTCCGTACAAGATACTCCATTTTTCCATGTGCACGGGTGGTATCTTTCACTTCAGAAGAATTTTTCGAGAACGTATCCATCGTGTAAAAACAGAATTAAACGTGCGCGATATTGCCGTGAGGTCGGCCTAATAATTGGCCGGAATACTTTCTTTGACAAAACTTACCGATGGCGTCCATCGATTGTGCCTCTTCATCGCTGGTCTCCATAGGCATCGCGTGATTATCCTTCTTCTTCTCCTTTATCCGACTCACGGCTCCGACGCTGGTTACGCCGCCGCTGTTCGCCTCCCTGCAACCCGGCTTCTTTTTATTCGTGTCTTTGAAATCGGACTGTATCGCCGTGGCGTTCGTCGTGTTCACGCTCAACGACGACACCGCCGCCGTCGACGACGACGATGACGGCGACGACGACGACGACGACAACAACGACAACGACAACGATGACGACGACGACGAGCTCTTTCCGTCGATTCTGCAACAATCGACCACCGCGGGACCGTCAGCTGGCTTATCGGGACATAGAAAAATCTGCTTCCGTATGGAATAAACGAGCCGCGTGGCGAACTCATTTTAGCACGATTCGAAACCGGAATCTTGTTACCAGACTGCGGCATTCAGGTAATCTTAGTATGCTCGAATTAGCCTGAAATTCAATCTATCAAGAAGCTTGATAAATCCCATTTAGGTTTTTATTTTATTCGGGATCGCGAACAAATCTTTTCTTTTTTGTCTCTAATTTCCGTTAATATATTCTTAGATATTGATATTTGCGTAAAGATTCGCAGTCTGATTATTTACGGTATATTAAAACTAGTTTGCCAGCGGTTGTTCAAACTACGAGGCGTTTTCTTCGTCCCGGCAGCGCGCGGATTTCGGGGGGGGGGGGGGCTAGACGAGGTTATAGCCCCGGGCCCCAATTTTCAGGGGGTCTCCGATTTAAGCCTTCCGATTAACTAATTTACGCCGACTCCGCCGCCATCTATCACGATTCGAAAAAAACGTTTCAAATAAAAGTTACATTTAAAGTTACATCAAAGTTGCCCCCGCCATACCTCCAGGGGGCGTTGAGGGCGAGCTAGTTTTGGCACAGGTGGATGGCCCCTTTGAAAATATCGAGGATTTATTTGAAACATTTTTTTCGTACGATGCGTATATCTCGAGATATTTCGATTTATCAAGTTAAATGAAACACCCTGTATACTTATTTTTAATCGGGCATAGGGTAGATGTCCCGATTACTGCCACCTTAAGGCCTGCTGTGCACTGAGGTGTCTCGTAGCGTACAACATGACGCTTAGGCTACGCTTGAGTTTTTCTCCACTTGAGCGTATTGGAAGCGTACAGAAAGCGTACAGAAAGCGTACAGAATGCTTGATTTTCCTCATTCGAAAGGATGTCGGGCGACGAAGACGACCTTATCGCCTTATATTGTAATTATATTCGACGACGTAAAAGTCGGAAAAGATATTGGTTACATCATTACATAGAAAAGAACATAAATGATCGTGTATTTCATTGTTTCTATAGAATGAATAAAAAAATACGTGCAAGAATTTAGTGCGTTTAGTAGCTCTGCCAATCAAAAAACAAGACACTAAAATACGATGTTGTGTTAGCCATGTACAAACATGGGTTATTTTTCTATTATTTCTATTTTTTTTTTTCTATTTTATGGGTAACTTTTCAACAATCTGTACCAATTTCACGGCCGACATATTTCACACTCAAACACAAATGAAAATTTTGCCTCCTTCTATACGCCCAGCGGCAGACATCGTTGACGACGCGCTTCATGCCGAACGCATGCAACGACGAAAACGCGATGCTGAAACACATGTTGACACAACCATTGTTTTAAATTGGTCGGTACGTGGAAGCGTTAAATGTCTATGAAGCGTCTATGACAAGACGCCTTAGTGGACAGTAGACCTAAGATTATAACGTAACTTCATTTTAATATTTTACGTGTTTTTTCACCTATAAATCGTCTCAGTTTGAAACATAATATTAATCAACATCACCTTCATTAAAAAAAATAGTTTAATACATTAGAAGTGAAGAATTAATTAATGATTACTTAAAATCTGCGAGCGCCCCACTGTCCCTATTACTGTCACCTTAAAAACCATCTTGACGATCCCTATTATTGATAATGAGACCTTATTACTGCCAGTAAACAATTAAAAGAGTCGATCCTTCGCTATAACAAAAGCCGGAAGCCTCTTTACCCCTTGGCTCGTAACACACGATATCAAAATCTCAATATACAGTACCGGACAAAAGTATTCGTACACCCTTTAAAACGGAACAACTTTTTTTAAATTGGTCCAAATGACTTGAGTTCTTTTGTGGACTTACGGACATTAGTTTACTAAATGATGTGTTTAAAAAAATTGAAAAGGTTGCAATTGGTCGGAATCGCGAAGAAAATAGTAACGGTCGTTTTTTACGACTTTTTAACCTGAGGCTGTAATGAAAATTTAATAAATATATAGAGAAGATTTATGTTAGTTATATACATATTGAAACTTTCAGTAAAATCGGTTGATATAAAAACGAGCGACAGGCATCAAAAGATGTAGGAATTGTTAGATTTACTACAGTTGTAGGTCGAAAGTTGGGAAAAAACTGTAATTTTCAACATTTTTAATCGTTTGTATCTCGTAGCAACGTTAACCGATTTTGATGAAATTTTCAACATGTATATAACTAACATAAATCTTCGATATGTATTTATTAAATTTTCATTATAGCCTCAAACTAAAAAGTTGTAGGAAACGACCTTTATTATTTTTTTCACGATTCCAACCAATTGCAACTTTTTCAATTTTGTTTACACATGATTTAGTATAATATAATGTCCCTGGCTTCACAAAAGAACTCAAGTCATTTGGACCAATTTTAAAAAAGTTGTTCCGTTTTAAAGGGTGTACGAATACTTTTGTCCGGTATCTGCTTCGTTTCTTAACGGATCATTCGGTTCGGCGAAAAAATATTATTCAAGTCTTGTTCAAATATTTCTTTTTTCCATCTACGATACTCACAGACACCGTGTATGCAAAGGAACCATTTGCAGTCTATCTATGCCACGACGTGATTTTAATTAGAAATTCTAAGTGTTGAAAGAAAGACCGAAGACCCTGAGGAACGAATATGTAAGTACTGCGAAATCGTAAGAAAATATTTTCATCGATTTAAACGGAATGTCTCCAATCTCGTCAACGAGTACGTCGATGCACTTGGAATTCTGTGCCCGTAATCCGTACAATTTTTTAAATGGATTCATTCCATTGTTCCCAGCTTGAACGTATCGAGCCACAGTCAACAGAAACTTAATATTCATTTCAATTTCAATTAATCGTCTCTGCAGAGAGGAACGAGCGAGGTCCTCCCGGTTTTCACGCAGCTCGGGATCAGATTTTCAACGATCAACTCAATTTTGATGATGAATGCCTACGTAAACATAATCCACTAACCAGCAACCATTGATTAGCATTACAATCTGCTAATAACCACCCAGTCTACCCTCAGCCTCCGTTTCACAACCGCGCGCGTCCATCCGCCTCTTTCCCCCTCCCTACCCCATCGCCCGTGCCCCCTCGATTTCAACCAATTATTCCTTTTACCAAGAACACCGACGATCGCGGGTATCGTTAAATTACTTTCCCCCGCAGAAAGCATTCTTAATCTCTTCTATGCAATATAAATGCAAGACATTCAACAATAGGGCTTAACTATATCCTGAACATGGAAATTCAACGTTCAAGTAAAATTGAACGTATAGGGTCTTCCAGTACAATCCTTTTGAAGACATTTTTAGTGCGTTATTAATATCCGCATACACGTACGATACACGAATATACACATTTTAATGTAATTAATAATGTAGGACATATACAGAGTTTTAATAACAATGTGGGACACTTTCACCGGATGGGTTCTACCTGCAAAACTAAGACGAAAATCAAGAATAACGAAATGGCGTTCGAGATTTCGTTTTCGATTCTTAATTCTTAAAAATACAGGCGAAGTACGTATAAATTACGTCTGACGCGACAGGTTATTCTACTTGAGGGGCGCGTTCTTCGACTGTTTCAAGAGGTGGTTTTATTCGTTTCATTGTATTTCATTTGTTAGTTCCACTCACGGTCGTATACACAGCCCTGTGTGAAATTTCCATGGTGGAGGTAACTCCTTAACAAAGAATAAACGTTTCGTGAATCTTCCACTAGCCAGACAGCACTGCTATCGTGATGTACACTGACGATCAAACTCGGTTTCCGCTAGGGGAAAAAGTGAGGTAAGCGAAGAAAGGCCTCCTACTATTTAGTTTTGGGAGTTATTGAAATTTATACCAAATTAACATTCAATTTAACATTTATTCCAGAACTTGAAATAAATTTACTAAGTGGTAGGATACCTTTCTTCTACGACACTTTTTCCCCTAGCGGAAGCAAAGTTTGCTCGCCAATGTACCTATTCCTAAATTACCTTTCACAATTTTTTTATGTTTTTATCTGAAACAACACTTGGTATATTATTGGAAGGGAAAACTAACAGTTTCGGAAAAGTATGAAAGTAAAATTATCTATCTTTATCTAATCTGTCAAAATAGAAGTATTCCAATTGCTCAATAACCGTGAATATTTTGATTGCCTAGACACGGATTAAGGGATCACCCCCACCACGAGAGTTTTCGGACCTATGTATACAACCGTGGTTCCACTACCATCGATCGGGCCTGTGTATCATAATTTCATCATGCTGATTTTTCGTCTTAGTTTGGCATACAAAATCAACCCTGTGAAAATGTTCCACATTTTTATTAACACCCTGTATAGCTCTGGGTGCTTCTACATTCCGACTGTACGAATAACTTTTCCCTTTATAGTACATTCAACACGATCATGTAAATGGTTCGAGTCTAAATATAATTCTGAGTCCAGTACGATTGTTTATTCGATTTATCGATTGTAATTGAAATATTTTAAAGTGGTCACGTCGTGTTATTGCAATACGGCGTGTACATTGAATGAGATAACTGATTTAAAACTGTTTTCAACAAGAATATTCTCCAATGGTTTTTCTGGACAAATGTTTACGGAACGGTTTTTATTGCAATAAATTATTGGTAATCCTCCATGTACATAAACTGGGTAAATACAATCAGTTTATCGACGCAGGATATATTTAAACATGATCGAGTCGAGTGTTATAGAACGTCTAATTATTGTTTCAGAAATTCTAAATAAAAAATTAAATCGGAATACCACAAGTAAAGAAGCTATACAAATAAAAGGCCAAATCCGAATATGAATAACGAACTCGAAGAATACGATACTTGCGGTCCTGTAAACAAAGAATCGCTTTCACACAGAAAAAATAAATTACCTAACATGAAATAGTTATTGAGAGAAAATATACGTACATCACTTTAACATCCTTTCCTGACGTTTCAGAACTCAACTGCGGTTCCTCCTTCACCTCCACTTTGATAAGATGCGACTCCTTAGGTTCCGTTTTAATTTCTTTGTTTTCTTTGTTGGTTTCCCTGTTATCCTTCGCGTTCGACGTCATCAACGGGGTGACACAAGACGTCGTGGTACTCAGTATAGATGTCGTTGTCGCTATCGTTGACGTTATCACGGATTCAGTCGTTAAGCACATACTCGACGTTGTCGAACTTAAAGAAGTCGTCGAAGTGGTCACTATTGTTGATGCATTGCTCGTCGATACGTTCGATGCTGTTGTGGTGGTGGTCGTCGTCGTTGTAGTCGACGTTGCTGTCGAACTATTCTGCGGATTTTCTTGTGTTTTTTGTTGCTGCTCACGTTGCAGCCTCGTCGTAACACCCGTAGTAAGAATGTCTATAGGTCCAATACTTGAACTGGTATTATTTACCTTGAATGGATCGAGAAACACATAAATGAATACCTGTGCAATCTAAAATGTTCAAATTAAATTAACGATACTACAACTTTAGTGAGACTCACTTTATTATTAGGATTGTTCCGAGAGCTACGTGTTCGTTGCCGCGACTTTCGCAATAGCTGCTTATAATTTTCTGCTTTTTTAGTGAGGTAGTAATGATGCACGCAATCTGGAACGGACTTATGTTCTAAAGATTGAGCTATCGTTCCAAAGTTCTTAGGATGTTGTAAATATTTCTCTTTAAACAATTCGTGCTCCACAGGACTCCATACGTTGATTAACTTTCGTTCACTGTGAAGAGCCTCTAATTCTTCCGGCTGAAGTAGACCATTTCGATTCTGAAACGCGATTCGTCTCTGTTTTGTATCCAATAACAAAGGAGGTATCACTGCGTACGAACGCATCTTCTTATCTTCCATCTGGAAAGGTAGTTAGAGAGAAAAGGTTATTAGGATATTTCCCTGTATATATGATCTACTGAACTAACAAGGGAAGGCCGCGACATTTGGGACACGGATTTTTATGAGTCTCACATATGTGTAGTGTAGGTGAGTACACCAACATATATGTCAATGTTGGGTCCTACACTCAAAGCGTTTCCAAAATATTAATAAAAATGATATGATGATTAATAGCGGTGCTAGTAAAAGGCAGGTCTCGCACCAGAACTGTTTGCAGGTCGATTCCCAATGCGGTCAGATTTTTTAAACTTGAAAGTATAAATGTACTTCTCCTTATTTTATTCCTTAAAAAATAAAGTACCATTTCTTACATTCTAATGTATGACATTTATCATAAAAACAAATAAAAAAAATCAAATTCATGACACCATGCATATCTAATAAAAGATGTATGGTCACAGTTACATATTTTTGTTTTAATTTTAGACTGGATACAAAACCTATGCTAACGCTTAAATTCTTAAATGCATCAATATTGTTTTTTATTAATATGTTGAAAACGCTTGAGTGTTGGACCCAACATTGACACGTATGTTGGTGTACTACACCTACATTACAACGTATATAAGACTCATAAAAATCCGTGTCCCAGATGTGGCGGTTTTCCCTTGTACGATTTTTCCTACATAAACTATAAACACCAAGCTCCAACTTTATAGAATACCTCTTGTTCTTGAAGGCCGTCCATAATTTCTTCTAAATCAGCTTCGCTCTTGATACGAGCACCGACTCTATTAAAACGTTCCTTATCTTCCCTCTGTTTCCGCAACTCGGGGAACACTTTCTCGAAGAACTCACGATTTTTCGCTTCTTTTGACTTTCTCTTTTGTGTTGCTTCCAATCGTTCTATCTTACGATGCCATTCCTGCACCAAAATAGCGTACGTTCGAGACTGTTGTCGATGAAGAGACGCTCGTTCGGCGTGTTCTCTTCGAAGCCTCGCTATAAGCCTGGCCCTCATACATGTTTGATGCTTCGTACGATTTTCTTGGTACACACTCGTATCCGACGGCTGATTATACAAGGGTAGCTCCACTTTTGGACCTAGCCTCTCTAAAAGCCTATGGGCTTCCTCTGCCTTTCTCTGCAATACAAGTTACGTTGAAGATCTCTGGTGAAATGCTTTAAAATTCCTAGCAAACTGTCTACAGATTTCTCTACTCAAATACTTACCCTATTGTCAGCATAAATTTTTTGTGCCAGAGATTGATGCTTTGGTTGTTGCGACTGCTCCTCGACTGGTCGTTTAAGACCACTGGCTTCCAGAGGTTTGTTCGCTGCCTCTTCCAATTCTTTCAACTTTTTCCGAAGCTTATTTATCTGGGACTCTCTTTTTGCAATCTCTCGGTCGACCTTGGCGATCTGCTGCAAAAGATCGTCCTTGGTACTCCTAAATTGCGCGTCTTCCTGCGTGTTCGGTTCCGGAAGCGTGGGTGATATCGCTTCTGTTTGCGGTGTATACGCACCCGTGATGGGCTGCTCCTAGCAAAAATTGCTCATAGAATACCGTGATACATTGAATGAATACTATTTTAAAAGACACGCGCATAATTGCCCATGTTATACCCACCCTAGTGTCTATCCTAAGCGGCTGTTGCAACTGCACCACGTGTTCTTGTTTACCGCAGGGGTCGGCGGGTGATAGGCTCTGAGAGCGAGATTGCGATTGGGACTGTAACTGAACTTGGCTTGGTTGGGCCAAGCGTATTTTCTTGAAGGGTGGCGCCTCCTGCAGATTGGCCATTTCAACGGCCGTACGGCTGCAATACTGATCCGGCTGGACGGGCATCAGGGCTATTCGTGAATTCCTCGCATTGGTCACGTGCTGATAGTCTGAAGGAGCTGTTGGTGAAGGTGTCGGCGTCACCGAAGCGGGCGGCAAAAGAGATATCCTCGGTCTGTCTCCTCTTCCACCACCCATGCTACTAACGATACTGCTTGCCGACGCATATTCGCCCGTAACTACTCCAACACCGACTCCAATCTGCGACAGAGGACTGCTGCTCACGCTGATAGCGATCCTCTCGTTCACCTGGAAAAAAAATTACGATTGAAATCCATCCTTACTCTCAATTTTCTCACCTTACTATCGGTCATTTCGTTTTATCCCATTTATCTTGCCTAACCTCCTCCGCGCGAACCTATTTCAAGAAAATCGATGACCCGGTTAAAATGGGGCAGACAGTACGTTATCAATACACCTACAACTCCATCAAACATTCCTTGCACACCGACTGATGCTTTTGTCTCGATTAGACGTATCCTCAATATCTTACATCCGAAAGAATGTATTTATATTTCAAATGGATTACGATATGTAACTGTCCCATTGACTCTTCGAAATCACATTTAAATTTAGACTAAGATTATCATGTCGAAAAGAGACTAAATGTATGTTTGTATAGCTTGCACAAAAGTACAAAGTACAGTAAAATAGGAGCTTTAATAAACTAGTACATAGCGTTTGGTCCTACGTTTCACCTAGTGAAACTCTTAATACAGAAAATAGTAAATACAAATCTCACGCTCGTTGCAATTAATTTAAAAATATACGAATTATTACTACATCCTCTCTACGTTGCTACTAACATACGGCCCTAATATTCTATATTTAATTACAATTGTCTTATCCATGGAACCTTTTTTTGATGGTCGACAAAACAGAACCCAGCATTTATCATATGATTGCAAGGATCGAATCGCGGCTGAATCCGCCAGTAGAATACCTACATTCGTGGTGGCGCTGCGATATGCATCTCTCGGGGCGTAAGCAGTTCCCGAGAGCGATGGTGGTGGCGTTTGACTGACTGTGGGTGAATTCGCAGGTGCGACCGCGGGAGCTGGAACTGGTACAGGAGTCGACGCCGACGAGGCTGAAGTGACCACCGTGACAACGGCTGGCACCGACGCCGACGTTGGCGTCGGTGGGTACGGATGGATGTATCGTAGACCACCAGCCATGGGTACAGCAACGTAACCTCCTGGTGCACCACCCACTGTACCGCTCCCACTGTTGCTTCCCGCGCCGGCACTGCTACCGTTACCACTGCTATTCCCACTTCCGGGTGGTGCTACGTTCCCAACGGCCACGACACCAGCACCAGCCCCAACAACACTGGTTCCACTGTTCGCATTACCAGCGTTGCTAACACTTCCGCCACCGCCTCCACCAATTGAAGGACCTCCAGCAGTCCCAGTTCCAGCTGCTCCAGCCGCCGCAGCTGCGGAAGATGCAACTGCACCACCCTGGACGTACGTCACGCCTGATCCAACCGTTCTCGGTGATACGGGACTGCTACTCTTGATGTTTACGTAACTTTGCGGCGACCTGAAATAATTACGAACGTGCGTTACCAATTCGGTTAGATAAACCGGAGAAATTAACACATTTCGTACAGACATCACGTGATACATCGTAGTTCGAGCTAGTCAAACGTAGTCAAGGGATACCTAGGTCTTGCTTTTTCTATGGTGTGTTGCTTAGTGCACCCAGGATGTAAATATATTCAAGTGAATTAGGTTCTTCATGGTCAACGTGCAACGAAAATGCGCGGGAATTGAAAGTGCGATAAAATGACTTGTTACGCATTGGGGCACATGTGTACAAAGGGACCATTCGTTTCAGAATCAGTTGTTTGTTTTAAATGCGTAAGCATGAGATTTAAAAAGACTGACAATGACGTATTTTAACACTTTAAAAATGAATAATTTTTTGTACACAGTTGCAGTCTAGCGAAAATACAAGATCGACAGGAGCAAGTGCATAGAAAAGCTGACGGATCATGGTCAACCAACCAATCGCGTCACGCGATAAAAATATGATTCATGCGAAATCAGGCATCGACTATACATATGATAGAATAGGAGACAGACGACCTTTCGGCGGTACTTTGTCACATGTGGCAAAATCCGCCACGCATGCGCTATACGATATAACGATATGCGGTGTCGCAGTATAGCACAGATCATGGTTCCGCGTGCCGGTGCATCGGTACCTATTCTGTGTGGAATCACTGCGCAAGCGTTGAACATCACAAAGGGTGAATGTGCCTGTCTGCTTTCGTAAGGCGACGTTGCTATTGCAATGTTGCCAGATCACCGAATACATTCGACGAGGTTCGTTGAGCGTTTCTAGCATTATTTACAAGCGGGTCTTGATCGAGGATTAGTCGGTCCAGATTAATATCAGATTTTTAAACTTTTCCTTTGGAAATCAGTATTCCAATTCATACAATACCCAAAATACATTACATCTATCTATATTATTAAATATTAAATACCATAATATTTACAAAATTCAAACAGTAATTCGCCACAAGCGTTCAGAGACGTAAAAATACTATTTTATATGAATAAATCAAAAAGAATGTAGGACAAATATGTACGATGGTATGATTTACTAGCTGTATGTGTCATGTAATTTTCGTTATTCTTTATCCGTTTATTTTTATCACATTTGAATTAACTATTGTGATTGCTTGGCCGCTTTATGAATTTCCTTAGATTATGAATTCTCGATGATGTAACGGTCAGTGACCCCCACCTCCCACTTCTAAAATCTTCTGCCTACCATAAATCACCTACTCTTTTTCCTTTTTATGAATGATGCGCATGCGATATAACATTACACATGAACATAGGTCATAAAGGAAAAAACATAACCACGGCTGTATACGTTTAATTGCGACGAAATAAATATGCGTGTACGCTGGAAAGCCAAGTTGGTACGCTGAATCTGTAATTTTTGTCCTACAATATATAAAAATAATATTTTTTACTAAACTTGGAAAGAAAATTACAAGACATAAAAAACAACATATCCCTGAATTTCTTCCATTAATTCTACTTTCTTCTTTCTATCTAGATATATTATGCATGTATTTTTGAGATAGTTCGCGATATTTCAGCATATGCTTTACTTGTTTTGATTATTAAAATATATTGGATCCTACAGTTTTACATGTAAGTGCTACTTTTCAAACATATTTCCAGATGAACAATTGTGCATTTCCGCCATCACCGCCATCTTTTATTCCCTACCGTGCGACCTACTGTTAGCTTTCTCTTTCCTCGTTCAGCAAGATCTTGTATTTATTTTATAAGTTCTTAGATTTTATTCAAGTTTAATTGTATATTAATTATTCTGTCTAGTGTATCAACGTAATTCAAAAGTATTTAATTATTTAATAAACTGTACAACAAGAATATCTAAATCATGTATCCCATTCAAAACTAATTATGGTGAATCGTTGTGTTGCTTTATTCTATCCCTACTCAATTCATGGAAACGCTTTTTACCTTATTATTAGAATATCTAGTATGCATAGATATACACATCCCAATATATAACGTTACTTCAATGCCTTCGTAACTCGCTTCATTTGTACACTTCTCATGTCGAACCTAACCTATCTTATTTTCCCGCGTTCTACAAAGTATTTAATTCCCGCTCCATACAAACACGATTATCGGTGTATATTAAATACTGAAATTGGTTACATAAATTTGGTATATCAATACCGAAGAATGAGATGTTTTTAACTTGAACTACAATTTATATTAGTGAATAGATTCTTGGGTTTTCAAATAAATAAGAACCCAAAGGAACTACAATTAAGTTTTAGATGGTTTAAGAATAACATTCAAAGCTCATGAAGCTAATAGAAAACTTATTAAAGAAACCATATTTGTCCAAATGTAGTTTCATTATAACGAATGTTACATACCGATAGAGGCTTGAGCCTTCTACATATAAAAACGGATAAATTAAAAGTTTGTTCGTATCAGTAGAATAAAGAACGACGCAACAAAAATAACTGCGTGGACTTACTTCATCATGCAAACGGACAATCTCGAATTTCAAAGGAAATTTTCCTTTCCGTGTACATTCTCCATTTGCACATCCGATTCATCGCATTTCCGAAATTCACGGTTTCACTTCAATATTTCCATTAAAATATACTGCACTACTGCACATGTGTATCTTTTAATGAACTATAAATACGAAATGTAAACCTCGCGAGGTTAAAAATCAACGTTGCACGTTGACGTTTGAGGTTAGAATCGACAGGTAGCAGTAGTGGTAAAATTGGAAGAACGCATGCGCTGTAAGCCATCGTATATTACGCATCCAACTTCAATCGTTTGCCCACCGCGTATTTCAACTTTAGACATTCCAACTTACGTATCTGAATTGCAAATTTATGATGCGAATTGCGTTATTAGCAATATAACAACAAGCAATCGGTGTAGGTATAAAATAGAACCATGTATAATCACGTTTGAAGTGACCCACTTACTAAAACCAATACTAAAAATGGAACCATCACTTAAAAATTGAAACTTCCAATCTATACATTCGTGTTTACTCTACCCATATCAATTAAATTTCTTGAATAAACTAAAATCTAAATATACTTATATTATTGCTAAGTCATATTTACTTAATTTCACAAAGCATCTCTTTATGGAGTTAAAACTGAATCTATTCTGCTAAATGCTACGTGGTGATTATTGCTTTACTTGAAATAGAAAAATTAATATTTTCCAAAGGAATATGTATCTTGAACATTTCTAACTTGAGATAGTTGACTGAACAAGTCATGGAAATGTTTTTAAAGAAATACTTCATTCTTCTGGGGTCAAAAATAGACAATTTTTTCTAAGACACTAGTATGCAGGGTATCCCACGCAACTGGAACAGGCTGTACCTTCTAAAAGTTAGGAATCGAAGAAGATGTTATAAGTAAAACTTAAATGGTATCAGACGGTACATAATATGTAACTAATTTTATGCACTTTTGTGCATCGGTGCATCAAAAAAATGCAACTGTACTTTTTTTAAAAATGGAAACTTGTTTTTGACCGCACCAATCGATGCAGTTTCTTGTGCTTTACATAAAAGTACTAACATACTTATGCCCTAAACTTATTCGTTAGGAAGTTATCGAAGCTAAAAGTTCTTTGAATTATTTCGGTCTCTCGGCAAGTGTTCCGGAGTACCTACGTTATCTTCCATTACAATGTTTGTAAACATGAAGCTTCGATAACTTCCTAACGAATAAGTTTAGGGCATAAGTACGTTAATACTTGTATATGGAGCACAAGAAACTGTATTCGATTGGTGCAGTCAAAAACATAAGTTTCCATTTAAAAAAAGTGCAGTTGTATTGTTCTGATTCACCGATGTACAAAAGTGCATAAAATTAGTTGCATATTATGCACCATCTGATACCATTTAACTTTTACTTATAACATTTTCTTCTATTCCCAACCGTTTAGAAGGTACAGCCTGTTCCAGTTGCGTGGGACACCCTGTATAGTCTTATATTCATTATTTATTTATTTTGTACGAAAATTTCGTGAAATTTTGTATTCATACGATATTAAAAATTTATAACTTGAAATATATGCATAAATATATTCACAAAGTTACAAATGAAAAGATGTGTGTCTTTAAAAAAAACTCACAAAAATTACCTATCTATTAGCCACAAAGAAACAAATATTCTTTTTGACACTTTGAATGTCAAGTCAATCCTCATAAAAGTTTCGCAAGAGCTAGAACGATTTCTATGAGAAAATAAAAATTAAGTAATTCTGCATTCGTCCACATGCCTATAACCTTCTTGACTTTCGTTGACCTTAACCAAGTTCATTCCGTGTAACATTTGACCGTAAATGTTAATTTGTAATTTTAGACCAAAAGATGGTCACACATAAGTGATTGACATGGCAGACGTAGTGCTAGGGGACGAGTTGACTCGTTTTCTGAGCTTGAGAGATCAAGGAGAATGCTTGCTGCTTTAATTACAACATCGTATACATAGTCATGCAATGCGACTGCGATAACGAACACACCTACAAGCTTACCTGTGCAGCTGTACTGGAGTAGATCTCGCGGGTAAATGTTGGTTATGGGAGACCGGTGGTTGTGCCTGACCCCTGCCAGGGGTCGACGTTACGCCGACGAGAGAGTGGCCATGGGCCCCGTGAGGATGACCGTGGGGGTGGGCATGTGGGTGTGGAGGATGAGAGTGGGGGTGAGGATGATGATGGTGATGCAAATCTCCCCCCACTGGACCCACAGGGCCCACTGGACCCCCCACCCCCAGTCCGCTCACTACCTGGACTTGCTTGCTCACTGTCTCCATCACCCCTAACGCATTGTGTACTGAAACAAGTCCCGTAAAAATTCATGCCAAGTTTCGGTTTTTACATCTACCTCAACTTTTTTAAATAATCTCTACCATCTTCTTTAAACTAACTTGTACTTTAATTACCGTACGTCTGGATGACTCTTGACGAATTTAAGAATGTAAAATATAATAAGAATTAAGAATTTAATAATATAAAAGATTGACACGAGTGGCAGAATTGTATGAATTGTAAAATATGTTACGTTTACAATTAGCTGTACATATTACATTACTCCAATCGTTATGATACAACTTATATGTACTGATAGTAGAAACAACGACTAACTAACGGTTTCATATTCTATAATTTCGTGATAGCAGTGCTGTGTAAAAATGTCGTACATAGTGTATAAATTAATAGCACCGATCACTTGGTGACCGTTCGCGAAATAAACGAAAATTTATTTCTATCATGATTGCACGCGATCCTTAAAAAGAAGGCAAAAGTTTACAAGGACGTCAACGGTAGGCATAATCAAAGTAACGGTACTGTAATGACTCTCAATGCGAAGGAAGCCTGTACGAGTTTCTTAGAAAAGTAACGTAATCTGGTTTTAATGAGAGTAACGAATAATCACTACTACCAACACGTCAAGTTATAACCATCTTATTACATGTAAATTAGTGAATAAACGTTATTATTATCCTTGTAAAAATTAGTACGTTTGGTGGCTCTGATCGAAGATATATTATTTAAAATGAGGGAATTTGCACATTTTAACTAAAGGAAAGGTTCGAATTAAAGCGGAACAAGCTAGTGATTTTGTAAATCATGCGACGAGAAGTGCATACCGCCGTGCGTCATGAGCTGACCTGACCGTCTGGCTTTCAATGTGGTCTCCTCGTGATCAACGTACGAATATACAATGTTCAATAAGGTTGGTGGCGCAAGCAAGAACGGCACAATAGATCACACTAAATGAACACTTTATTTCCTGTATATTCAACCAACAATTCCGAGTTACAGTTCCGAAAATATCCACCCACCCTCCGATTTTCATGAAAGTCGGTAAAGTTGTCTCAAATACTTTCAAATGAACATATGTAAAAGGTTATTTGGCGCATTTAAAAATTAACTGAGATTCCTTGAATTCCTTGTAGTAACAGATACGTCAATATTATGATAACAACTCAGAAAATGTTTTGTATCGCATTGTGTGGTTGAGACATACATACAACAATTTGTTTGGAATTGTTTTAAAACAAATTATTGCAGTACCACGAGACGTTGTATGTCACGACTCCAACTGCAAAGTGAGCGGATCGTTCTAGATGCTACGGCACTTCGTGTGTTTAGTATATAAAATGTATATTTATTATTTCAGTATTATCTCAGTTAATTTTCAATCGCGCCGAGAACCTTTTACATATGGTTCATTTGGGAGTATTTGGAACAATTATACCAAGTTTCATGAAAAGCGAAGGATAAACCTTTTCGGAACTAATAATATCTATCTGTTGACATGGAACGAACATGGAGAAACTACCGAACCCAAAAAAAGTTGAGACAGTTATGACACCCTGACAAAGACTGTTTATTCTACACACTGCTGTCAATTCCTTTATTCCATTACTCAAAACACAAGTATCTTTGTGGCATGGAAGTGTCCCCCTCCGATTTTGATGAAACTTCGTATATCTGTTAAGCAGTCAAAAATAAGGGACACGTATTATTTTTTTGTCGGCTGAGATGCGACTTTAAGGGGTGAAACCACCCCTGGAAGTTTCGACCCGAAAGTACTATCTCGAAAACCAGAGGAGATACATGAAAACTTCTAATGGACGAGGTTTGTGGTTTTTTATGTAGAATAATATGGTGTTAACAAATTGTCCAAAATATAATTTGTTTATAACAACAAAATTTCGGATCGAAACTTAGAGGGGTGGTTTCACCCTGTAAAGTCGCATCTCAGCCGATAAAAAAACATACGTATCCCTTATTTTTGACTGCTTAACAGACATACGAAGTTTCATCAAAATCGAAGCGGGACACTTACGTGTCTTCCCTTGTAAAAGTAAACACCGATATTTACGAGTATTGTGTAAATATCCCATGGCTAGGTGAAGGCTTCACCGTGAAGCAGCATTTTTATGGTAAGTTCACTAGTGACGGAAAAACAACTCACCGGTAATGACGTCAGCTGCGGAAGGTAAGCCGGATCTCGAATTTCCCCCACGAGCGGTTGATCCGCACGAGAATAATTCACTGCTTCAGTCTCGAGTGAAAATCACGTACATGTGCGCGCGTAATCACGCACACATACGTACGCGTGCACATACGTGAGTACACCACCGATCTATTTATAAATTCTATATCGACGTTAAAAACTTTTGCGGAACACGTTACTCCACAACATTACTGTACGTCGTCGAACTTTACTTCGCACAGGCTTGCCTCAAATCCCTTTCTTTTTGTTTATCATTTCCTTCTTACTTCACTGCTCACACTTTCTTTCCTCTTCATGTTTCGTTGTCTTCCTTGCTGTTGATCGCCGCCTCTCTCTCTCGCACCTCTTACACGTACACTTTCATGCGTTCATCAACACGACTTGTATACCGTGACACTTGGAACACACAACTGAACCGACCTTTCAAATTTCTTTCTTCGGCTGTTGTTCCGGCGACGATTTCTGCAGATAACAGTTGGAGGAACATGACATTAGTATTTAGTGTTGAACCCTTTTACGAATGGGATATGGGCGATACACGAGAAACACGCGCACGGACCGCCAATAACGCCGTTATGGCTTCTTCGTGTACCTACACATCTCGTTTGTTCTACCGAATGCCAAAATAAGAACACTGATTGCTAGGGTCACGGACTATTTCGAGAAGTTTACGCGGAAAATTTTAATGTTCGAACAACCGTGTCAACGTCTCGTGTAAATAACCCTTACAATCACCATTCAAAGTACCGCGTGATTCGAGCACCAAGCTTCTCGGTATATGGCACTTCAAGGGGAAATCGAGACCTGGATGAAACTTGGCGTAAATTGTAGAGGACGATGTTCCTATAGAAATCCTAGAATATCAGCTCCTAACATCTTTCTTTATAATAATGGCTTTAATTTTTAAAATTTGTTTAACTGCACGTCTTTACGAAAGAAATAATAATGTCCGATGCATTAGTGACCTAGAGTTAATAATTTAGTTAAAAAATCAATTTTCTATGTTGACATATTTGCGTAATTGCTCTACGACGAGAAAGGTTTCTAGTTACCATGGTAACTCTAGGACAGGTATTAGAAACTACGACCCTGTACACCCAGCATGGACTCCTCCTTGATTTCTTTCTTTCTTTCGATGTTTCTACACGAAATAACAAGTTGATTTATACTTTCTTGCGATGACACAACATGTCCCCCTTATTTCATATTATACCGGTAACAACATTTATATTCTGATATGTACAAATTAACATTAACAAGTACTGTTTTGTTAAGAATTATAAACGATACTTTTTAACTACATTTGTTGTGTATCATTATTAATCATTATCAGCTTTCAAAGAAATAATAAAGTAAACAAGTCTCTCACAATGTTAACAACATTTTCATGGTCCACGTTAACATTTTGTAGCAACTGTTTCTATGATGAGTATCATGGAAGCAACTGTAAAGATACAGAGCTGATAGGTAAAAATTGTAAATCCTAGATGTTTACATAAACAACGTTTGTTGTTATTAGTGTGACGTAAAATAAATAGGACATGGCACAGCGTCATGAGAACAAAGTATACATCAACATGGCATTTCACGTTGTCAAATTGCGTTTATAAAATTCAATTAAACGTAATACATGGAACACCGCCTCGTCCCCCGCCCTCCAAAAAAAGGAAAAAATGGTAGAATTGCTACACTGAGCTTCAAACCTGCGTCTACTGGGTCGTGGTCTGAAACGCCCGCCCTACGGCGGGAATGACAATCGAGAACCCTACTCTTACTATTTAAGTAAGTTCAACCCACGAATTCAAAACGAATCGTCGTTTAAAGCCGTTTCTTACGAAAATGGCCGATTGTTAGGAGTAATATTTAGGAATTATTTTAAATACATTACCACCAACATTTACCACAAAATTTCGTCCAAAAAGGCGCTCGCCCAGGTCGCGACTTCCCCTTGTTAAGGAAAGTATACCTTCGTTATTACGAGGAAACGCGGCGCGGCTTCTACGCGACCAACTCTTGTTTGGATTATCCATCCGCCAACGTTTCAATTACACGACACAGTTTACGATTTAGAAGTGTTTAACCGAAGGAAAGTAAACTCCTGATAAGCAACAGAAGATAGAATGGAGACTAAACAGGCGAGTGATTATGGGTATTGTGAAAAAGTGCGGAATCGAGGCTAAACAAAACCAAATGAGGAAAGGAAAGGGTGAAAAATAGGTGATCGTGGGAGATGCTGCATTGCTGTCGCGATGAACGCTAATTTTTCTGTTCTTTCAACACCCGGGCCCTATCACCGATTAGGCGGAGCGCGTTGCACTCCGTTTGTTCTCACAACTTCCGGTTCAGCTGTTCGCACAAAAGTCCGCATATCTTTCGGTGCCTCGCTCTCCAAGAGAGTCTTGGCTTCTATATTTCCGGCTCCCGCTTTCTTTTTCTCTATGAGCACTGACGATCAGTTTGGATACACCTCGTAGAAACGCGATCGGTCGACAATTTCGTCACTGCCACGTGGTCCGCACACAACTTGCACACTATATTCCACTCGCGGTTTTCCATTCCGGGCAAAGTCATTGTCGTTTCTGCTTTTCCTGTTGGCGACGTACACGTTGCTGTTGATGTTACTGGTGCCGCCGCTGCCGTTACGGTATTCGTTATCGGTCCCACGATGATGCGAAGTTATCGGCGGACTCGCTTTCATCGCGGTCCTATTGCACCCCCGGTGAACCGTTATTTCGCAGTTCTACCTAAAGCGTCGAGGTTCCTACGACCGCAATCTAAGCACAGTGCGTGTACGATGCACGCACTGTGCACGTTTCCCGTGCACGTGAGCCCAGCGCCGCCCAGGAGAACGAAATTGGATGACTTTCAAGATGGCAGAACGAGAAACACACAGTTTTTACGTGACACCCGCCCGTACACGCGCTCACATGCAGATTTGGCTACACTGTCGAACAACGCACAATCGAAACAACATAGTCCAATTCTCTTCAAAGTTTATAGTATTCACGGTTGTTGTGTCGACCGATTTCCGACACGCTTCTTTTTATATTCTGCATTTCCTTTCGATCCGTCCTTCAGTGGTCACGTTTATTTCAAAGAAAAATCGAGCCTCAGTTCTTCTCCTTTTTTCACACTCTTGCACGATTCAGACTGGAGCGTTCAGACATTTCTTCGTGCATTCGGTTTCGTTCTTCTATGTTTTCTGTTGTGGCGACGATAGCAGCAACGGCATTAGCCAGGCAGTGTGCTTCTGTAAACAACACATAGTTCGCTCGTTTTAGTGATATATCTGTTGCAGCAATTATGAAATATATTTATCGTACGTAAAATCCTATGCAGCACGTACAGTAGTGCGATTTATAAGGATGTATTCGATAATTTATAATGTATCGTATTTTTGTATACACATGACTATACGTATACTATCGTGCGTTCTTGTGACTGATATTTCAACAAAGCCTGCCGGAAGTTGGATTTCACAATTGTTAGCGTTTGTAGCTTCAATAGAAGATTGCAAATTTAGAAGAAATATACCTCTGACCTGGAAATAATATCTACGATTTGGACAGACACCTTTTTATAAAATCCTTTGAAACAAAATTATAAGTATATAACATGGATAAGTAGAAAACTAAATTTAAGTATTAAAAAATATTCTTAACCTTGGCAATAGTCAATAGGGGGTTGGGTTTTCGACTACGTTCAGGTAGCTTGAATTTTCGAATCCCGGTGGAAATGGATATTCTTGTTTTATTTGTTTTTAGAACTATTTTTTTAATCGTTTTCTTTCACTTTGCATATCAGTTAAACGACTTTGAATAAGCATTGGTAATAGATAGTTAGTATTTCAGTGACAAAATTAACTACATGTGTTTTAAGTGTGTCATATAAGCTAGGCGGATTAAAACATATACTAATTTACTATACACATAATTTCTTACGGTCTATATTGTATATACTTTAAGTATAGTACAAATATTAAAATATATTGAATACGATGACCTTAAATAGTCGTGTAATTACGTTTTCTGACTACAATACTAAATTAAATATTACAAAGTTTAATCCGAGTTTATTTATTGTGAAATGGGAAAGGAAGTTATAAAAAACGGGTATTTACGAATTATAAATGAAGTAGAACTATAGGAACGTTCTACCCGGAATACAAAACTCAGTCTTGAAGATGGTAGTCAAAGACCCAAACGCCTAGGAGTCTAGGCTATTAACTAAACGCTGAAGACACACCAACCCTTTCTAATTTTATAACAAAGAAGAAGCGTCAGCAGATAATATTAAGGAGTTTGTTTTACAAAAGGTTTGTTCAAATAAAATCATTCATTCCAATCGTAGGCTTCTCTAGCTTTAGTAGACGTTGCTGGTAGTAGAACTGTGCGTTTTCAATTTCGACAGTTGTAGCCTCGCGCACATAAAGCCGCGTACTCACCAAGCGAGCGAGCTTTCTCACTCATTGTCAATGCTCGCGTTCGCTGAATTGCTGAATGATCCGACTCGTGTGTCGGTACGTCCAAAGAAATGTTTGTTTGAAACAATTTTTGCATTCGATTGCTCTGCCCAGGAATGTTCTATTCAGTGTGAAATAAAAATGGAATGGTGTAATGAAAACATTATTAAACTCATAGAGGCTTACTGTAGCCAAGAATCATAGAATATCTTTTCTATAGTTTCTGTCGCTTTTCATTATTTTTGGTTCAACAAGTTGTAGCAATTTTTCAAAATCTTCGGTCAACATTCAGCAGAAATTTCGGAACATTTTATATCCTTCTTCTTCCTAGAAGCCCCTTAATCAATGGCTTCACTCCATCTTGTTTTCTTTTATTTTTTGCACTGAACATCAACAGAATAGAAGCAGCACTTGCACAAACCAATTTCTGCTTATTCATTATTTTACAATCTGCTCGCGATCAGCCTTCGGATCAATTGCGAACAGACATGAATTCGTTCCAGTGTGGACGTAGGGCGAGCATTTCAGTTGAACACGAGCGAATGATCGTTTGTACTCGCTCGCTTGGTGAGTACGCGGCTTAACAGAGACGATCGATCTTCGCAGCAGAAGGTACTGCAGCAGGTTTTCGTGCGTTTGAATTGCATCTTGAAGAAAATCCACTCGCATAGTACCAATAGTATAAAATAAATACGATTTGAAGATAACACAGAGTTACGTATCTTTCTAA